CCACCCGCCCCACCCCAATCCTAAATAAAAATATTATTAATAATACTTTCTTTTCATGTTATAGATAGATTTTTTTTCATTTCAACAAATGAGTATTTTTTTTCATGATATAAACAAATATTTTTTCATTTTAATAATAAAAAAAAACTTTTTTTTCATGTAGAAAAAGTATTTTTTTTATTTCAATAAAAAAAGTATTTTTTATGATGTAAAAAAGTATTTCTTTTTTCATTTCAACAAAATGAGTATTTTATTTCATGATGTAGAAAAAGTATTTTCTTTTATTTTAATAAGATGAGTACTTTATTTTCATGTTGTAGAAAGAGTACTTTCTTTTTCAACAAAAAAAAGAGTATTTTTTTTAGTTATGGAGCACAAATTTTAACGTAATTTTTGCATAACAAAAGTAAAGCGTCACATTAGTTCCTTTGGGTTTGTGTGGATTTTTAGAGACTTGGGGGAGGGGGAGGGGGCGGTGAAGAGAATAGCATACAAATATATTTTCTACTCTCTAACCAAACGCTAGAAAATATTTTTCGAAAAATATTTTCCACTCACCAACCAAACAAGGGAAAATAAGTGATAAAACCACTCATTTTTCATGAAAAATATTTTCTAGGAAAACATTTTCCATGAAAAATATTTTCCTTCATACCAAACACACCCCCAATCGCTTCTCCTTTTTCTTTTGGATTCAAGGTTAACCACAAAACTAGGAAACAAACGATAATGTTATGTTTGCAGCATAGATAAATTCAAAATTTAAATTTAAAGGGTTTAGCTTTTAAAATTTTTAGCATTAAAAATATTGTATTACTACTAAAATTATGGGTTTAAATTTAATATTTATTGATATTTTAATAAGTTTGATATTTAAATTCATATTCCGTATCGAAAGTTATGAGTTTTGTTGAACCGTAACCAAAAAACTTTCAACAAAACTACATTGACCCTGTGCACCAGCCGGAGAAATCCTCCTGTTAGGCATTCTATTTCGGAATCCTTAGGTAATAAGCCAAAGTAGAGGAAACACGACTTAAAGTAGTATGACTTTTTGACTTTTTTATTTTGGTCCAAAATAAATATCATTTTATATAATCAAGAAGCAATTAACTTTATATTTTCGAAATTTGCCCTTATTTATATATCACAATGCGTTGAGTTAACAATATGCAAATTTTAGTTAATGGTAATTTAGTCTAAATATTTTTTTCCTTTAGGAAATAATATTTTCTTAAGATGTGCGCCAAAAGACAAAAAGCCACTTATTTTGGACCGAAGGAGTAGTGTATATGACATAACTTTAATGCTAGAATTTTTCGGCACTGTGTTGAATGGAATACTGAGTTATAGTAGGGATGGCAAGCGGTGCAATGCGGGTTTTCTCTTAACCCGCAAAAATTCAATCCGCCCCGCTTCGTATAGCAAATGCACTCGTGTTCACCAGCTCCGCATTCACACCCGCATCTACCTGCCCTGCCCCGCTCTGCACCCGCTTAACTTTTTTTCCCCTTTATTTTGTTAGTTTATTTATATTTTAATCTTTTGGCTGGAATTTTTTTATACATTTATGAGATCTACTCATACTTTTTATTAATTTTAAAGAATTGCAGATTTTGTTGAGTGTCAGACTTACTGTAATTCCTTTTGGGTTACTAGTAAACGAATTGTTCATTCTTTCTCCACATAACATTTCTATTCAATCGCTTTATTTTACTGTATCAAAAGTCTACTGATTTGAAAATACCGAATTTATTATGTTAGAAGTTTACTTAGCTTAGACCCAATTTCCATTAGTTAAAATTGAGTTTCCTTTTTTAATGAAATTTTAAAATCCGCAATCGCACAGTTTTTATTTTGTTTATTTCGCCCCGCCCCGCCCCGCATCTGCATATGTTTAAATACGCCCCGCATGTGTTTAAACCCGTACCGCCCCGCACCCACACCGTCCCATTTGCAATCTCTAAGACCCTAACCTTTAGCTACTCAGTAAAGTTCACTTCTTTTTTTGGCGATCTTCTCCACAGAAAAAGGCTACGACATATATATTCAGCCATGAGCCAGCTTGGTGCAAAAGCCGAAAGGAATTCCGAATTATTCCAGCTCGAGCATCCAACTATCCAAATATTTCAGCAACCATCTGATCATTGGACCAGTGTCCATTATGTTAGGTTAAAGCCCCGTTTATTTGAGCCCAACAAAATTGACCCAAATTAAAACGTAGATCTTGATTGATTGGACTGACTGGTTTAGCCCAATTCAAAAGTTAAGAAGAAAACACAATCAGCCCTAATAACAAGAAACTATATACACATAGAACATAAGACATATATGGAGGGGAGGTTGGAACAATACGGATCCGAGCCGTGGAATTAACCATGGATTCTTATGTCAAAGGTTGATTGATGCTTTATGCACTATCTACCTTTTTTAATAGAACATAAGATATATTATTGCTTGTAATAAATCCATTATGGATGTGGCAACTTCTAGGAATTAAAGGACTAAAAATGAGCAACTATTTTCTACAAGATATAAATATTCCCAAAAAGTTTTGTTAACATACCAGAAAACAATCATCTTAGTCTTACATATATATAATTACAACTATAATACAAAATAACCAGATTGATAGTAGCAGTATCTAAATCATAAATTCAGGAAATAATAAACGTGACAACCAAAAAATTATTTTTAATTTGAGGCTTATTTTAACAATTCATGACAAATCCACCAAGCACTCTGATGTAAGCATCTGTTCAAATACAGATGATGAATTGAAGTATCAGATTATTAAAAACATATTGTTCTAAGGGACTAACAAAGACATACACTATGTGACAACACCAAAATATTAGTTTTTCAGCTTTCAAAAAGGAAAGAGAGTGAAGCCTAATTCAGAAAAAAACATGGAGGAGCTAGCTCTATTCAGTTTTGGACTTTTGATGAGCTAATTTTGTTTGTTGCCTCTTGGAAGTATTATATACAGGACATTAGTTGTACTAAACCTTTATCATTAAACTTGATCCTATGACAAGCCATGACAAATATTGCTTGTAGTAAGCATTCAATGTTTCTAAGAATATAAATTTTTTGCATCATCGTTGTAAGTCGACCTACAATAACACGTAATTTTCCATTACAAGCTTTCCATTACAAGCTCAGTGAAATAATTGAAAAATAAAATAGTACTATTTTTGTTGTTGTTATTGTAAAATAGTACTTCCTACGTTTCAAAATTAGATGAGGTATTTTCCTTTTTAGGCTGTTCCAAAATAAATGACACATTTTTAAATTTTGAAATAATTAAATTGTAAACTCTTCATTTTACTCATTTTACCCGTACTGAGAATAGACAAGAGGGGTTGCTCTGATGGTAAGCAACCTCCACTTCCAACCAAGAGGTTGTGAGTTCGAGTTTCCCCAAGAGCAAGTCGGGAAGTTCTTGGAGGGAAGGATGCCGAAGGTTTATTTGGAAAGAACCTCTCTACCCCAGGGTAGGGGTAAGGTTTGTGTACACACTACCCTCCCCGAACCCTATTAAGTGGGATTATATTGGGTTGTTGTTGTTGTACCCGTACTGAGAATCTTTTATAAGTCACAAAAGTCTTTTTTTTCCTTAAATTCCGTACCGAATCAAACTACCTCGTGTAATTTGAGATGGAGGGAATAATTTACTATAACCTTTCGAATTACACTGATAGTGTAAAAATTATTTATGTTGTGCCAATTCATAATCAACGTAATCATAAATTGTCAATAATTGTAGATAGTAAACTACAAAAATACCCAATAAAGACAATCAACATATAATTATAACACCTCTTTTCTTCTTTCTAGTATATATACAAACCACTGTTCCCAATCCTCCTAATCATAAAACAAACCACTTCTAATTAATCTCCTCTCTAAGTATAGAATGGAAAGCTCAAAATCCCAATCATCTGAGTCTTTAAACAACTCATCCAAAAATATCCAAGAAAAGCAAGTGATAAAAAGAAAGTCAAAGTTAATTTCCTCAAATGATGGAAAGAAATTTATTGGAGTGAGACAAAGGCCTTCAGGTAGATGGGTTGCTGAAATCAAAGATTCTTCACAAGAACTCAGGCTATGGTTAGGAACTTTTGACAGAGCAGAAGAAGCAGCTTTGGCTTATGATAATGCTGCACGTCTTCTTCGTGGTAGAAATGCCAAAACAAATTTCAAATACCAAGGAATCTTGAAACCCAATGAAGAAAACTGCAGTTTGTTGGAAAAAAATCCAAGATTATATCAACTTCTTAAACTTGCAATCATGAAGAAACTTGCAGGGAATAGATATCAAAATGAAATAGAAACAGAGGCATTTGTTCAAGAAAATATGGGTTGTGATCAAGATAAAGAAGAGATCTGCAGGATCCAATTACAAGGAAGTAGTTCAAAGGTTTATTCTTCAGTGATTGTGGCTCCTTCTTTTAGTGCTTCTGTAGCTGATCAAAGTGGGAAAAAAGACCAAGAAGAAGAAGAAGAAGTTGAAGAAAATCACTATCAAACTAGTGCTCAATTATTTGAGTGCCTTTTTTCTCATGCAAATAAGTCGTCGGCAGAGAATAATGGATTAAACAGTTCCTTTTGATGTAGCTTAATTAGTATAGGAGTAGCATTTTTCTCTATATTTGCTTGTCTCTGCTGAGATCAGTTTAATGCAATACATATTTACTTTTTGACACCAAAGTTTATTTGCTGTTCTCTTCTTATTCTTCTGCCTAGCCATGGACGTTTATGGTTCGGTTTAGATCGGTTTTTTCCTAAAAAGAAATCAAATCAAGTAAGTCGATTTTTCAAATATTGGAACCAAACCAAACCAATTAAGTCGGTTTTTTATCGATTCGGTTTTTATCGGTTTTTGTCGTTTTCGGTGATTTATCGTTTTTTTCTTAAATATGAGACATACACTACCAAACGCATATTCCGGCGACTACATTTTCAACGTAATACTATCAAATCAATTGCTCTTTGAAAAATCTATCATTTACCAAGATATATTGATGATAATTGAATTAAATAGTGATGAATAATTTAAGTACTCAATTAAAAATTAATTATTTTTATCATGAAATAAATTCTTGTACTTGCAAAAGAAAACTACCAATCAAACTAGAATGTAAAGGCAAAGAATTAGATTATTATAATAGCAAAAAACTAGACTAAAAATACAAATGACTAATATGTACGACAAAATTTTAGAAATTTTATATAAAAATACATATATGTAGGTGTAATAATAATTTTAAATAGTTACTTTTATAGTCGGTTTGGTTCGATTTTCGGTTTGGTTCGGTTGTTCGTGTTTTTATGAACACCCCAACTTCTAGCATATTATGATGGAACTCCAACACGCGGAAAGTTCCAGTATAATATACTGGAGATTGGAGCACCGGTGCTCCACTCTCCAGTATATTATGCTGGACCGATATATTATACTGGAGTTCTAGTATATTATACTTGAGTATTTTTCCGGATTTTGAATAGTGTTTTCGTTCAGATTTATTTTTACATGAAAAGTGGCTATATTTCGATTACTTTTGAAACTATGGCTATTTTTGAATGACCACTTATAAATCTGGCTATTTTTGAATTTCTCCCCGTTTAGCATATTTGACCATTGGGCTGCGGAGATCTTTACATAAATAGCTAACTGGATTCCCTTTTTACTTTTTCTAGCTGATTTACATAAATTGTAGTACACGATTGTGCATATTATACAAATATTGTACATCAATTATAGATTTGCCGGTTATTTTTAGTTTAAACGGCTGGATAAGTGGCTATTTAGGCGACCTTTGGCCCTATGGCAGAATTCTTACCTAACTATATTATAATAGAAACCAATTTACCATATTTATTTAGGTTCCTTATTAATTACTTTGTATATCTATATTTACAAGTTATATATTGTCAAGGTAGGCCCATGCTTCAATGGACCGGGATACAGACCATTATGATCCAACTTACGAAATGGAGCTAGTTTCTCGACTTTATTGGGCCAATATAAACACATATAATTCTGAATTCTAAAGAGATTTTTACATTCCTATGCCATATAGTAAACTATATTACCCTCCATGCTTAACTGTTAATATAATTACCTTTTATATACCTAATTACCATTTATATATATTTTAGAGGTTTTAATGGTATTAATTAGTCTCGTAATTTAACTCTACCGTATATTCCCACTCCCCCCAAGTTTCTCTCTCCAAATCTCACCCCCTCACCCACGTATCAAACCACACCCCACGATTTTCTCTTCAATCACCCACTATTTTCTCTTCTAAAACCAACGAAAATCTGTATCCCCTTCACCATTGACAACCATTAAAAAGCTTTGAAACTTTGAATTCGAATTTGGGTTTTCAAAAGACATTGTTTGTGGATTGGATGTTGTTGCAAAGAATTGAGAATTCTCTCTACATCTCTATCTATCTCTCAATCCCAAATTTCAATAATATAAAGCAAAGGAAAAGAGAGCAGCAATTCCACCATTGACAGTCATTAAAAAGCTTTGAATTCGAATTTGGGTTTTTAAAAATTATTATTTATTTGGATTAGGTGTTGTTGCAAATAATTGGAAATATGGTTTGGAGTTTATATCTCAATTTTGAGGGGTTTTGGTGAAGATTAGACTTGATTGTAAAAATTGTACGGGGTGCCCTATTTGGTCGCCCTCATTTAACCTATACCCATTTTTTTTAAAAAAAAGTTTTAACTTGTACCCACTTTTTAAACAACTTCAGCCCCCTTTCTCCTCCTTCTCCTCCTCTTCAAAGTTTTATCTTTTCTTTTTTTAGAAGTAAGTTCAGCCCTATCTGCTTCTTCTTATTTCTCCGGTGAGTCCTATAAATTTTCAATCATTTTATCCTTTTCGCCGACACCCTCAGCTGTAAAGGTTCTATCTTGGTTTTGCAACTTGAATCTTATTCACAATTTTGATATGAAAATGGGACAAGAAAAATTAATTATTAATTTTATATTGTTGTTTGGTGAATTGGGTCTGACGAAAATTGGAGATTTCAGTTGTCGATTGGATTGGTAATGTGTTGATGTTTCCTGGTTCCTGTTAATGTTGCTTTAAGTTACTTCGTTTGGGTACAACATGCCTCCTAGAGCTCTAGAGCTGAAGTTCGCCAATTGCAAACAAAAATTTCAGCTCTAGAGCTGAAGTTCGCCAGTCTCTAGAGCTGAAGTTCGCCAGTTACAAAAACAAAAACTTCAGCTCTAGAGCTGAAGTTCGCCAGTTACAAAATAAAAACTTCAGCTCTTACAAAAATCAAAACTTCAGCTCTAGAGCTGAAGTTGGCCTGTTGAAAAATAAAAACTTCAGCTCTAGAGCTGAAGTTCGCCAGTGACAAAAACAAAAACTTCAACAATTACAAACAAAAACTTCAGCAAATAGAGAACAAAACTTCAGCTATTATGCTTAAGTTTAGCAATTACAAAGAAAAACTTCTGCACACTTGGTTCAACGTATGCTGAAGTTACGCGAAAAAGTGGGTACGCTTGCAATTTTTTTTGTAAAGCGGACACAAGTTAAAACGTGACCCAAAAAGCGGGTATAGATGCAAATGCCCGACTTGGTTTTGGCTGAATTTCAGATTGAAACTCGAAGAAGAAGAAGAAGAAGAAGAAGAAGAAGAAGAAGAAGAAGAAGAAGAAGAAGAAGAAGAAGAAGAAGAAGAAGAAGAAGAAGAAGATATGCCATACATTATATTGCAGAAATTGTAGTAAAATTGTTGAAAAATTATAGAAAAAATGTATTCTGTTGTTTATTTATTTTTCTTTTATTCATTTAACTATCGTATGAAAGTTGAACAACATTGTATAAAAATTATATTTAAGTTTTATGATATTGTAGTTGTATATAATTGAGTAGAAATAATGTATAAAAATTGTAGATAAGTTGTATAATATATAATTAGTTGTATGAAATTTGTTTTTACTATGTATAAATTAGATACAAAATATACAAAAGACATATTGTATAAAATTTGTATTTAAGTGGTATTTTATTGTAGTTGTATATAACTAAGTAGAAATAATGTATGAAAATTGTAGATAAATTGTATAATATATAACTAGTTGCATGAAATTTATTTTTACTATGTATAAATCAGATACAAAATATACAAAAGATATATTTTATAAAATTGTATAAAAAATATTTAGTTCTATCGAAGTTCGTTTAGAACATAATAGAAAGAACGTATAGTGCCTTGCAGCTTAATTCCAAACTCTCACAGCTACTACAATAACAATGTAGTTTTGGTTCTGTAATCACCTTTCTAAGCCATAGGAATGTGGGTTGTCCCGACACATTGTGTTATAGAATATGAAACAGGTCATGGACGATTTTATGTAGATTATAATATGTTGGAAAGGTTCATTTTTAGGATAATGAAATTTATTTTGGACACAAATTAAGTTTAGTTCGACACTTATATCACTATTTGTTCATAAAATACCTTCATAAGAATCTGACGAGCAAGAAAAGCAAATAAAAAAAATGCTAAAGGTAAAGTAATTATATTTTTCACTTTTTATGTTCATCGCTGTTTTAATTTTTGTTTGTGTTAACATAATTTAAGATTATGCACTGTGGAGGTAACTTCGTGCCCCGCAGGAATGTGAGCACAAGCAGTTGAACTTTTACCGTTTATCTGTTTATAGTCCAAACTCTCAGATACTTATGAATGATTAAAACTTGAAGGAGGAATGATAACTTTCAAAAATAGCTCAGGGCGTGATCTGTTTCATTTTGATTGGAAAACATATAGACGATATATTTATTAAAACTCACACAAAAACTTATTTGGAGTGTGAGTTGAAGATCAGGAGAAAAAAGGGGAAAGAGGTGAAAAAAGAAGGAAAATGATGTAACTAAATCCCTTAATTGAAGGCATTAATAATGGATTTGAAGCCTTTTAACGTGGAATGTATATATTTTGTAAACAAAATTTGTGTAGGTAGGGTAATTTACTAAACATGAACATTTAGGGTAATAAAATTTCCAATAGTGTATAGGAATGAAAAAATTTCAATTCTAAAATTAGAAGAAGAATTTAAATCTTCACTTTAAATTTAAAAGTCGTCATCTGCTAATCTTTCGTCCACCTTACCCATAATAACAAAATATAAGCTAGCGTTTAGACATAGATTTGATTGAAACTTGAAAAAAGAATTTTTGAAGTTGTGTTAAAAATAATTTTTGAAAGTTAAAATTGTGTTTGGATATGGATTTTATTTGAAGAAAAGTTAAAGTTTTGTAAGTGGAAGAAAGAAATTTGCCTAAACCATTCGGGAACTTGAAATTTTTTAATTTTTTTTCTTCAAGATATGATCATATTTCATAAACATTACAACAACAACAACAACAACAACAACAACAACAACAACAACAACAACAACAACAACGACGACGACGACGACCCAGTGTAATCCCACAAGTGGGGTCTGGGGAAGGTAATATGTACGCAGACCTTACCCTTACTTTTAGGGGAAGAAATGTTGTTTCCAGGAGACCCACGGCTCAAGAAGGCCACAAGAGACGATATATTAGTGCCATCAATAGAATCACAA